TAGATGAAACCTGGTAGGAGACAATGATTTTGTTAGAATATCTGCGGTTTGATCAAGAGAGTGAAGATGACGAACCGCAATATCACCATGTTGGATATGATGACTAATAAAATGATAATCAATTTCTATATGCTTCGTACGAGCATGAAAAACAGGGTTGTGAGCCAAGGCGATCGCAGAGGCGCTGTCACAGAAAATGGTAGTAGGGTCGTATTGGGAAATGCCAAATTCTGCAAGTAGCCGACGGAGCCAGAGAATATTAGAGGTCGCAGAGGCCAGAGCATGGTACACAGCTTCCGTGGACGATTTTGCCACTGTGGTTTGCTTTTTAACACTCTAAGAAACCAGTGTGGAGCCGAGAAAGGAGCAAAAACCTGAGACAGATTTGCGATCCATAGAGTCAGCTGCCCAATCCGCATCAACATAAGTTGTAAGTTGCAAATTGCCGGGTTGGAGAGACAAGCCAAAATCCAATGTGCCTTGAATGTAACGAAGTATGCATTTTAAATCAAGAAAATCAGCTGTAGATGGATTATGCATATGTTGACATACTGCATTCACGGCAAAGGCAATATCAGGCCTAGTAATAGTGAGATAGTTAAGCGAACCAACCAAACTACGATATAATTACGGATCCGAGAAGGAAGGAGCAGCAGAGACATGTTTGGTAGATTTGAGCACACTTGGTGTGGGAACAGGTTTCGAATTTGTAAAGCCAGCAGCAAAAAGAATGTCTGTAGCATACTTCGTTTGATGCAAAGTGATCGCTGATGCAGTGCGGTGCACTTGAATGCCTAAGAAGGTGCCAATGGTGCCAAGCTGTTTTAAAGAGAATTGAGTACGAAGCATGGCCAGCAGACGTTCAATAGTAGTAGAATCATTTCCCGTGAGCAATAAGTCATCAACGTATATCAGAAGATACAGTTGAATATGAGACTTGGTAAAGATAAGTAAGGAAGGGTCTGCCTTACTGAATATAAATCCAAATTGTAGTAAAGATTGAGTAAGCTTATTAAACCATTGGCGAGGAGCTTGGCGAAGACCATAAAGCGACTTGTGCAATTTGCAAACATAATCTGGATGTTGAGAATCAATAAACCTAGGAGGTTGTTTCATAAAGACTTCTTCTGGTAGATCTCCATGAAGAAAGGCATTGGAGATGTCAAACTGAAGTGTTTGCCAATTGCGATGAAGAGCAAGTAATAGAAGAATACGGATTGTAGGTAGCTTAGCCACCGGGATAAATGTCTCATTGAAGTTGATACCAAATTCTTGTTTGAACCCTTGAGCAATTAATCGGTCTTTATAACGATCAATCTGACCATCGAATTTGGTTTTCAATTTGAAAATCCACTTGCTGCCAAGCACAATTGTATTGGGGGGAGGCGGGACAAGGCTCCAAGTACCTTGTTGTTGAAGAGCCTTAAACTTGGCAGACATAGCCGCATGCCAGGACAGGTGTTGTAGTGCTTGAGTATACGTGGTGGGAATGTTAACTGACTGAGTAACCGTAAGTAGATCAAGGATGATTTTGGGTTTTTGAGGACCAGTTTTCAACCGTGTTTGCATTGGATGAATAGACGAAGCATGAGGTGGTTGAACAGAGGATGCAATTGATGGAGTTAGTGAAGAAATGGTGGAAGAAATTGGGCTGAGTAAGGGTTCGGTTGAAGACACAGGTAGACTAGAATTAGGTGAAGCTAGTGGCTGGGAAATTGGGAAATTCGTTTGAGGAGGTAGTGGAAGAGATGTAGTGGTAACAGGTAAGGTTGTGGGTGTTAAGAGAAAAGGATTTGTAGGAGGATTAGAAACAGGTGTAGAGGATTGAATAGTAGGCTTAAAGGGAAAGAGATGTTCATAAAAGACAACATGACGAGAGACATAGATGCGATTGGTATGTGGATTTAGACAACGATATCCCTTATGCGAGGAGGCGTACCCAAAGAAAATACATTCTTGAGAACGAGGTGATAATTTGTTAGCAGAGAGAGGTTGAAGCCAAGGAAAACAAAGACAACCAAACGTCCGTAAATGATTATATGACAGTAATTTGTCATGGAGAAGTTGATAGGGAATCTGAAACCTACAAGCAGATGTAGGCAAAATATTGATTAAATAATTTGACGTTAACAGAGCTTCAGCCCAGAAGGTATTGGGAAGGTGAGCAGTATGCAGAAGAGCACGAGTAGTTTCCAAAAGATGGCGATGCTTGTGTTCAGCAAGACCATTCTGCTCAGGAGTATAGGGACAACTAAGTTGATGAGTAATACCATGCTGACTCAAGTAATTTTGAAAAGAACTGCTTATGTACTCACCACCACCATCTGTCCTCAATGTTTGAATGGATTTATTAAATGAATTCTTAATAAGTTGATATAAATGTTTAAATTTAGAAAAGGATTCATCTTTAGAACGCAAAAGATAAATCCATGTATATCGAGTAGAGTCGTCTATAAACAGAATGTAATAACGAAAACCATTAAAGGATGAGACAGGAGATGGTCCCCAAACATCAAAGTGTATTAATTGAAAGGGCTTAAGTACATGACTAGAAGAAGAAGTAAAAGATAACTTGTGACTCTTGGTCACATTTCAAGAGGTACACATAAAACTAGAAGAGGGAGTACATATATATGGAACTAAATTAGAAAGATATTGCAGAGTCCTAAGATTTGGATGACCCAGCCGTGTATGCCATGGCTGAAGAGTGCTGACCGAGGAATGTAGAGCTGGAGAAGAAACCGTGGAAGCATTGGAAACAGGATAAAGACCATCTCGCGAGCTACCATAGAGTAGAGTACTATTGTCCGAGAGATCCTTAATGACAAAACCATGAGCATCAAACAAGATATAACAGTTGTTATCGGAGGTTAATTTGTGAATTGAAAGAAGATTTTGAGAAAGATGTGGAACATGTAAAAGATTTTTGAGATGAAGCTTATGGTTCTGATCAGGCAGTGGTAAGATTCCTTGCCGGATATTTTGAATGGGAAGTGTGTTCCCGCTGGCAACGGAGATTGTATCGATTCCAAAATACGGTGTAGGTTGTTGCAGCTGTGAAGCATCCGGCGTCAAGTGAGATGTAGCACCAGAATCTAATACCCACTCGGAAACCGGAGAAGTTACAGTGCTGTTTGAGTTGGTGAGATAAGCACGTTGATTTGTAGTTGAAGTGGTTGGAGCATATTGCATATTGCAACGGTGCCAACAATTTAATGCCACATGACAAAGTTTTCCACAAATTTGACAAGTCGGACGATTTGTCACTGGAGCTGTTGCACGAGTGGTAGTATAACTTGGTGTAGACGGAATATTTATTCCAGAAGAGATTGTCCTGAAGGGATCACCTCTTCCTCGTCAACGGGAGGAAGATCTTCCACGAGATGTATTGGAACGCGATGTCCACAGAGCAGTATGATCTGAAGGAGTTGACAAATCCTTTTGTTGCTCATTTTGTAAGTTGATTTCTTCACTGCACAGAAGTGAATCAAAGCATCAAGAGTGATGGATTGCTGGATTATCTGGATTCCAGATTTGAACGGATTATAGATTGACGGCAATCTGTTCAATGTATGCAGAATAACGTCTTCAACATCAATGTGACCTCCGGACGAGGATATGCTGTCCACTAGAGTTTTAACTTGAGCAAGATATTGAGTCATAGTAAGATCTTTCATTTGTATATGGTGTAATTCATTCTTAAGTTGAATTACACGAGAACGATTTGTGGGCTGCAACCGTTTCTCTAATGTAGTCCAGATCACGTGAGCAGTGGACAATGAGATGATATAAGGAAGAACAGAAGATGATATAGTTGACAGTAAAGAAGAAACAAGGTTTTGATAAACCTGTTTCCAGAGACGTAAATCGTCTGCATTCGAATTTATAGAAGATACAACTGGCAGTGTGATGCTTCCGATCAGGAAACCTTCAAATCCATTTGCTGAGAATAGTTTGAACACCTGAAGACGTCAAATGGGATAATTATCATTTGTAAGCGAAGTCGACACAATGTGCTTCAAGTTGCTCATGAGAAACTTCAAGGAAGAGGGAACGGCGAACTCTGTCATTGCAGCAGACAGAGACGACGAAGCCGCAGGAGTAGACGCCGAAGATCCTTGCGACGCCATTGAAGAAGATAACCTAAAGCTCTGATACCATGTGAGCGTCCATCTTCAGTACCTGCAAGAGAAAAAGAGAATGCAAGCAAGAGACGAGAGCTAGTTTTCATAGAGTATTGGACATGAATCTCATGTATTCCTTGAAGAATTAATGGCAAATATATATGCCTAATACAGGAGATAGGTGCTGAGCAAAACGGCCCAAAAGCCTGCAGTGATCGCAGAGCACAGGCGGACAGCAGGGAAGTGCTACCTTACTCATGTTGACATGAGTAGAACATGATAAGCAATAAATGCTGAGAGTATACTCTAACAATCACAACCACTCTTGCAAAATCATCAATTTAATTTCAACTATTCGTATGAAACAAGTTCTATTACCTGTAAAAAAAAAAGTTCTATTACTTGCTTGCTGGAAGATGATTTTTTTTTTTTTTGGGAAATCCTAAGAATTTGCTCACTTGTAAATGAGAAGAAATTTTCATAAACTCCTTCGTCACTCTTACACACTAAGGCTTCGTTTGGGGCGGCTTTCTTGTTGCTTCTTAAAGCAGCTTTCTAGTATAAAAAATTTAATTATTGAACTAAGAAGCTGCTTTAAGAAGCAGCAAGAAAGCCGTCCCAAACGAAGCCTAAAACGTTAGAGAGAAATTTTGTTGGAGAGCGGGAATGATTGGAGAGAGACGGAGAGAGACTACACAGTCCTTGTCCCTCAATTTTTTTAAACGCAGGCATCTCGCCACTCACACGCACTCGGTTGCACTGCTCAACTTTTTTATCTCAGACATCTCCATCATTAATTATCACTCTCGCACACTAATACGCGTAGATAAAGAGAGAATGAGAGAGCATTGATTACAATCTGCGCCTCATATGTTACCCATTCCCAATCTCTCTTGCCAAACTACAATCTTCTTTATAAGTCCCTAAAAACCCCTCCCCTTCCCCACACCAAACTAAAAATCAATGGCTCTCTACTCACCCCTTCTCGTCCTGCTAGCAACGCTACCCACTCTCTTCTTCCCTTTCACACTAGCCATTTCGTCCACCGGCCTCTGCTCAGCTCCGCCAGACCACGACTCAACCCTCCACATCCTACCGACCTACAGCCCCTGCTCTCCTCTCCAACCTTCCACCCCTCCCTCCCGCTTCCTCGACACCCTTCTCTTCCTCTCCAACCGCGACGTCTCCCGTTTCTCATACCTTTCCTCCCTCCTCGCCGCCGCCCCGACTAGCCACCGCTCATTTGTCCCCATTGCCTCCGGCCGTAATCTCCTCCAATCCTCCACCTACGTCGCCCGCGCTTCTTTAGGCACTCCCCCTCAGCCTCTCCTCGTTGCCCTCGACATAAGCAGTGACGCCGCGTGGTTCCCCTGTTCATCCTGTTCCGGCTGCACTTCCTCCTCCGCCTTCTTCTCTCCTAACCGCTCCTCCTCCTTCCTCTCCCTCCCCTGCAATTCCCCTCAATGCACACAACTTCCCAACCGTTCCTGTCCAGCTAAAACTTGCACCTTTAACCTCACCTATGGCGCCGCTTCCATCTCCTCTGCCCTCTCTCAAGATTCCCTCTCCCTCGCCGCCGACTCTATCAACTCCTATACATTCGGCTGCGTCGTTTCCGCCTCCGGTGGTTCCATTCCCCCTCAAGGTCTCCTCGGCCTAGGCCGTGGCCCTCTCTCCTTCCTCTCCCAGACCAAAAATCTCTACTTTTCCACATTCTCCTACTGCCTCCCCGGTTTCCGTTCCCCAAACTTTGCCGGAACCCTCCGCCTTGGTCCCTCAGGCCAACCCAAGCGAATCCGCACCACCCCTCTCCTCTCCAACCCACACCGTCCTTCTCTCTACTACGTTAACATGACGGCAATAAGAGTAGGGCGTAAACGCCTTCTTATCCCACCAGCTGCTCTCGCCTTCAACCCTTCAACCGGCGCCGGCACAATCTTCGACTCCGGCACAATGTTCACTCGCTTAGTCTCTCCGGCATACACCGCCGTTCGAGACGAGTTCCGGCGACGGGTTAATTCCCCTGTAACCTCCCTCGGTGGTTTCGACACCTGCTACAACGGATCGGTTGTTCTTCCCACAATCACATTCGAGTTCGATGGAATGAATATGACTCTATCAGAGGAAAACACCGTGATTCACAGCAGCAGCGGAACTCTTTCCTGCCTGGCCATGGCGTCGGCGCCGGATAATGTGAACTCTGTACTGAACGTGATTGCCAGTATGCAACAGCAGAATCACCGAGTTGTCTTCGATCTGCCTAATGGCCGAGTCGGTGTCTCACGTGAACCTTGTACGAGTTGAAGTTCAGCCCGTGACTAGCCGTTGATCAATTTCAAATTTTTAAATAATTAATGCTTTGCTTTAGCCTAGTTAATTTGTACGTCAATGGATATTAATGTCCCATTTGGTTGTTGTGTTTGTGTCGCAGCTTTATTTCAGCTCAATTTTCATGTCTTGTTATGAACTTTTATACTGTTTCTGACAGCTTGTGCTGTTAAAAAATTAATTGTCAGTGTTGGATTTTGTTCAGCTTAATAATTAGTTTTTTTGGGAAATCTTAATATTTTTTTTGTTTGAGATTTTTACATACATAACACTTCAAACTAGTATAAATACATATTTAACACCCAAACTTTTGTATTTACCAAAATACCACCTAAAACACCACTTTTCAGATATTCTACCACTCCGTCTCGTAAAAAAGGGCATATGAACAGCTTTCGCACGCGACAAGGGACGACGCAAGGAGAATGGGAGCGATCTCGATGAAGGACGACGACACAATCTCGGGTGCTGCTCCGGCCGATTTAGTGAAGAAGACATAGCTACTGCTCCGACCCATTTCGTGAAGAAGACAGATCTTCCTCACCGAAAACCTCCTTAGTTTCACCCTAACTTCACACCGACATTTTCAGCACTTGAAGATACACTCATGCCAACATCTTTTCTCTTCTTAATCGGCGGCTTGCATTCTTCTTTACTTAATCCAAAGTGATTGAAGGCTCAATAATTTCTTCCGTCTTACTATTCTTAGAAATAATTGAACTTGCATGTTTTTTGAAATTTGCGTTATTAATTATGTTCTTACTGATAGAGCAGAAAAGCAAGAAGATGAATAGTAGATATTCCTTAATAACAGATAGAGATACATAGTGTTGAGCTCCCATGGTCACTACGTGAGACTCACCATTTATCTCCTGAATAGTGATAAGGAGGCATCGGAGCTTTGGTGAGGAAACGTGGAAGAAAAATGGGGAGAAGGGTGAAATTATTTGCAGTCGAGGAAGCTCCGCGGGTAAATTGTTAAGATTTTTTTACGTAACCTTAGACGGAGTGGTAGAATAGATGAAAATGGGTGTTTTAGGTGGTATATTAGTAAATACAAATATTTGGGTGTTAAATATGTATTTATAGTAGTTTGTAGTGTTATGTATGTAAAAATCTCTTTTTGGGGGAGGGGGGGTGAGAGACAGGGGATAAGGTCAATAATAACGGGAAAAAAAAATTGTGAGAACAATCACAAATAAAAATGAGAAACCTTTTTTTTTCAATACAAAAATACATTAAACCAAAAAAGTAGTACAAGAGGCAATGTAGCTAATGACAAAAAAGTAAAAGAAAATACAATAAGAACTAATCTAAAGGCTCAGTAATTGGTCAAGGCTCCCAGCTTCCCCGAAGTCAAGCACAGACCCTCCAATTTGGTGAAGAAAGGCATGTCAAGCCAGTTGACCAGCCCAACCAATCGAGCAAGAGACCAACACCAAAGGTTGCCATGAGCCATGACGACGAAGAAACGAGCCCCAACAACATCATCGCCCAGCACATTCACGACCAACAAAAAGCTCGAACGAATCACCAAAAAAACCAACCTGAGAGTGAAGAGGCAACAAACATTGAAAACTGCCTACCCATCTGCCCCTCCCACGAGACCTCCCATGAGATCCGATAGAGATAACCGACCTTTCACGAACCAATTTAAAATCATGTCCAGGATCAGAGTCTCCATAATACTCCGAAGAGGAATCAAAATTAAATTCAAACGAACAGTGAAGCCAATCAAGATGAGCCCTCACATCCACACCAGAATTATCTTTCACATGATACACCAAAGCTTGGGGCTCGATTAAGTTCACAAGCACATCCACAAAAGAATTAGGAATAACCATACCTTCACAAGAATTAACATCACTTCTAACAACATTACTTCCAACAATAGCCTCAGAAGACTCCACACCACTATTAGATAAAAGAGAAATAAATGAATTCACACCGCAAAGAGCACCATTAAAATTCACATAGCCATTCTTCACACACAGAGGATCCCCTCCCCCCACCACAATAGGAACAGCAGGAGGAGTGGAAACCGTGGGGGCATCAGCATTAACCAAAGCCAAATCACCCAAAGCATTAACAGGCCAGATACAGGTAAAACCACATCAGAAAAAATAATTTCCTCCTCCACACCAGACGAAGGAGTATTAGAGCTAACACCACCCACATCACTAGCACATTTATGAGAAGACAAGCCAACTCCAGAATCCGACATAGGAGGCATAACCGTAAGAGAAGCAACATCCACCACCTCATTAGACTTCAAAAATTCCCCAGAAAGAGAATAGAAATAGGACCACCCACATCATCAACACAAGAAATGGTGGGATCAACACCACCAGCGTCCAAACCGATCAAACCAGGGGAAACAAAAGCCCTATTTAAAGAGTGCACCACAGGCACAGAACTAATTAATTCATCCCGAATAGGCATAGGCGTACCAGAAGCACAAGCTTCATAGGCTAAACCAATAATAACATTATTCACAGCTACTTCACCACTATCATTAATAACCACCGCAGGGGGCAAGGACGCAGGTAAATCGCAAACCATATTAACCGGAGCCACCTCAGTGACAGGAGGAATAACCACATGATTAGCCAGAGGATGAAGGATAGGGCATTCAAGTTTTGAGTGACCCAGAGATTTATAATGCGAGTAGTAGAAAGGAAAGGGGTCCATAGCAACCGATTATATATAACCTAAGCTCTCGGATCCTATCCAAATCTTATCAGGATACACCTTGGTGACATCAAGTTCCACCAGCACTCAAGCAATCAACGCCCGCCTTCCAGAGGAAGTGGCCTGATTAATTTTAAGAGGTTTACCAAACATGGAACCGAGCCCCTGTAAAATCCTCGGGGCAAAGAGGTACGGCTTAAGGCTAGGAAAAGAAACCCAAATGGGAATAGAGGGAGATTCGACATCAATGTCAAAGGTAGGTGACCATTTGCCTTCATGAAACAATTGTTCAAAAAATAAGAGAGATGGGAAAAAATGTGATAATAATCCATGTCATTCTCAAGTTTGATAAGGACATGCGTAGAGTTAAGAACAATGACTGAAAAAACTCTATTAAGTTTGAGATTGAAAAAAAGTTTTCGAATCGCTTCCAGTGTCATCCTATGGGTCAGAAATTTACCAACACGCACAAACTCAAAGGAAGCAACAAGGGCCAGAACTTCCTTATCCAAAATCCAAAACAAAGGAAGCCCCTGAAAAGATGAAATCTTAAGGTCGAGGAAAGAAGAGTTCGAAGCAAGACAAGAACTCGCTAAAGCCTCACGAAATGACCGATAACAAGGATTACCGAACAAAAAACCAGGATCCAAAAGCCATTTTCACTCCATAGCTAAATAAAAACCAAGAACGAGAGAGATTAGAGCAGAAAACTTCCCTGAGATGGCAAGAGAAACACGCAGCGATGGAGGAGATGCCGCAAACCACAAACCCTAGCGGAGCACATTGGGTTTTATGAAAAATGAGAAACCTATGGAGTTGAGAAAAGAATAAAAAGCTCAATAGAAGATGCAAAGAAATACTAGCCAAAAAGCAGGTCAAAAGAGAGCTAGCCAAAAACTGCCAAGAGCATCCAAACTTTGCATAAAACCATAAAACTAAAAGGCTCATTAACAAAATTTGCATACAATCAGTTGCAAAAATCCCAATTGCGAGAACTACCATAAAAATGTATTATGTTGCAAAGAGCCGTCATCCAGAAGAAAAGAGTTGAAAATTGATCATCCTTGTCCCAAATATCAAACTACGGCCAATAGCCAAAAACCAAGAGCAGCAAACTATTGAAAAAGCCAGCCATATGAAACCTGAAGATAAAACGTAACAGAGGATGGCAATTACAAGTAGTAATAACCCAAACCTCATTGCCGGGAATAAATCAGAATAGGCGGAACCACAGGAAACCACATGCAACAGAGAAAGCAATGTCAAAGGGATCCAAATGTAAACTCCACATATTTTCAACTTCAAAGCCTTGAGATAAACTCCCTTCCTAATATTATCACATAAAGTGATGTTTCTCTTAGAACAATTTGCAAATTTCCATGCATTCCTTTCCCTCCAAATGTAGTAACCCGAGCACCATAAAAATACAAAGTTTAGAGAGGAATAATAAGCTCTCCTAGCAATAAAATCATGATTTGAAATAGATTGGGTGCATAGGAAAGTCCTTTAAGCTAGGCATGAGAGTTGAGATAATAGAGAAAGAGAAATCACACTCAAAGAATAGGTGTGAAGTACTTTCTAAGTTCAATTTACAGAGGTAACAAGCTGGATTAGCAATAATATTCCTTTTAATAAGAGCGTCAGCTATTTTAAGGCCACCAACCAAACAAAGCCAGCCAAAAATAAGAGATCTAAGAGCATAGTTGAAGAACTGCATAGAACGTTGAAGATCTTCAACCTGCAGAGTAAAGGCAATACAGAGGAAAAACGAAGGAGAAAGCTACAATAATTTTAATGTATTTTATTGCATTGTGTTAGTGGCTACAGTAACTATTTATAGCTGAATAGTGTGCCACGTGTATTGAAACAATTGACTATTTTGTTTGTAATGAGCACCACTTTTATTAATCCACATGGTCACCGTGTCAGGGGCCGTTGGTGAGAGTGGATAGTATGGTTCGGTACTGTAGCTACCGGAGGTGGAGAAGAAGCTACTTTAGCAGTGGCTTTTGTAGCTTCTGTTGATACTTCCCTGCAAAATGACGGGTCAGGAAGTACCGTTAGTTTGATGCGTAGATGTTGGAAGCGTCTGGTAGGGAGTGGTTTGGTAAATAGATCTGCGAGTTGGTCGACGGAGCTAATCGGATGCAGATTTAGATGCTTGGCTTGGATGTGATCACGGAGGAAGTGTTGATCAATTTCTATGTGTTTCGTCTGGTCATAAAACACTGGATTGTGAGCTAGCGCTATGGCAGACGTGTTGTCACAGAGAAGTGTTCTTGGACTGGGCTGTGGTTTGTCAAGCTCAGAGAGAAGCTTGCGCAGCTATAGTATGTCAGTTGTAGCAACTGCTATTGCTCTGTACTCAGCTTCGGTGGATGACCGAGCAACAGTGTGCTATTTTTTTACACTCCATGACACAAGTGTATCTCCTAGGAAGGAGCAGTATCCTGTGGTGGAACGCCTCGTGGTGATGTCGCTGGCCCAGTCAGCGTCAAAGAAGGAGCGAAGCAGAAGTG